ATCTGTCGGCCTTTTTCCTTTATGGTTTCTGGGCCTCCTGTGGACCTCAGAAGGCTCTCCCCACTCCCCGTTTGTGAAAATATGGAGAATGTGCTTACTTAGAGCACGAGATGGTCCAATTCCAAGAGGCAACAGCAACAGAACTGATAGAATGCCAAGGAAAATTGCACTGAGCCCTGTGAGGAATCTGCCTGGCCCACATTTCCCCTCCACTGTACTTTTCCAGCCTGTGGTTATTTGTTCTGCCTCTAGGCAGCCCTGACGTTCCACCAAGTTCGCCCCCTTCCTCCCTCATTCCTGTGCAGAGAACTGTTTGGTTTTCTGTCTTTGTTCTTGTTTTCCAGACAGTTCTCTGCAATAAGTGGGGCTCCGTTTACCTGCAGGTCTCCCACCCTAGGACTGAATGCAACATTACTGACGATATTTGCATCTTTCTGCACCCCCTTCCTGCTTCACCCCCCCACCCCGCCACTTCCTGGAGTGAGCAAGCAAAGCAGCCAAAGTAGACGTTTGACACATCTGCCCTGGGTTGGCTCAGTTCCAATGGGAAAGTTTGATGTTGCAAGATTTTCATAGCCACTCGCATTTCCCTGACTTACAATCATACAGGCTTCCTTGACTTCCTTCTAATTCAATAAAGACAAAGAAAGCAAGCTGAGTTTGCACTGCTTGGGTCCTGGGGGAACCAGCCCCAGGCAAGCAGATGACAACAGCCTTTGTCTTGGGCCCCTTTCTCTGCCCCAGCTTTCTCTCTTGGCTCACTGGGCATAAGTGCTTTCAAGTTTCTTTCCCTAGTGTGGTCAATCACAAGCCAATGTCAAGGTTTATCATAGGAGGATTTTTCCCCACCAGTCTGTCAGCATCCAACATCAGTTATGTCCATTTCTTAAATATTCTGAATAAACGTAGTATGCCTGTGTGCAAATGCAGCTTCAAGACAAGCTCCCCAGCTGCCCATTGCAAATACATTTTAGCCTCCTATACCTGAACTCCTCCTGTGCAAACATCTGGCACACTGCCCCTTCCCTAACTTTCCAGGTTTCTGGGGGTGGGGGGCAGGATGAGTGCAGGGGATGGAGGATTAAGCTCAAAGGCTAGGATTTCAGGTTTCAGTGCTCAAAGCCTGGGAAGCTCAGAGCCCATGGGGACCCGTGGACCCACTGCCCAGAAGGGCGTCTCCTCCTGACCTCTGCCCTGGAGGAGCACTGCTTCCCTGGGGACTTTGCTGGTGAATTCTGTGGAGGGTGCTTTCAACACTTCCTTTTGTCTTGGTTATTCGTATTTTCTGATTTTTTTCTCTCAAAATTCTAAGTATTGTTTCTAATAATAAAATACAGTTTTATCCTAAATTTAAAAAAAGATTATCCTTAGAGGGAAGCTCTCAAAACTCCCAGGAAGACTTTAAAGGAAGCTATGTGGACATTTAAATGAGTTAGTAAGTCCCCCAGAACTTAGGAAGCTCTGGCTAAATACCAATTGTTAACATTATCAGTATTATTATTACTACTATTATTCTGAAGAAGGAATACTTTTAGGGTAAAAGTAGAGTTGGCATTGAATGAGGAACAGAGAGTTGAGTCTAGGATTAGAGAGTGCTTCTCATGGAATATAGAATCTGCTCAAATTAGCCACATTTATGTTTGGGAGCCATATGAGTTTTTTAACTAGTAAGGTTCCCAGCAGCATGATGGATGCTGATATCTTGATGTTTCTCCCTGTGGCCTGGGTTATAGACAAATAATTCAGGGGGAAAAGAAAAAAAAAAAAACAGAAGAGTCTCTCTAAACGTAAAGCACTGAAGAGAGACTAGAAAAATCAGGAGAGAACTGGGAAGAGACGAGAGGACTGAGTTCCTAGCCGATCCTGAAGCAAAGAAAGATCATTGGTCTAGTGATTCCTGAGAGGCGTGCTTACCACGTATAATTCTGATTTTAGATATTCTGTCCCTTTACGTCAACATATACAGTCAAGCGTTCTGATATTTACATTAGAAACCATGACCACCGCACGTGTCCTTAAACACAGGGAAACGTCTAAAGGATGCATGATTTCCTCTGTTCAACATGCATTGTAAATCTCATATAACCAAATCTTTTGAAGTTTCCTTTCACCAAAAGGAGAGAAGCAGCAGCTCAGTGGCACACAAGTTGTTGAAAATGCATTTCAACCAGAGGATGCCATGGCCTCTGGGGCCTCATGCCTCCAGCTCACATACAGGGCTTCCGCTGTTTGGGGTGCCAGGAACCCCGCTAGGGATCCAAGTTTTCAAGGCTAATGAAGATGATTTAGATGTGACGTCTGAAAGGGCCGTGTGGCATAAAGCCTTTCCTGTATGAAATCCTGGCACAGCTGCTCAGAGAAATGTGAGTGGGCGGGGGTGAGGGGGTGTGAGAAGGCAGGATGCCATCAGGCAGAGCTAGCCATAAAAAACGAGTTAGAGAGTCCAACACCCCTTTTTGTCTTAACTTTATCAATTTCATCTTCCTTTCTTTTTTTAAAAAAGTCCCATTTTAAAAACTTGGCAATTCATCCAATAAAGCATGCCTCTATGCCCAAGTAGTAATATTTACTTTTTAAAATGTGGGATTTAAGATAACAGGGTCAACAGAGAGAACATAATTAATGGAACAAATGGCTGTTGATCACCTAATTAACCAAATAAACTTGAACCTTGGGAGAAAAATAGGTGGACTGTGACCCAATCATTCCTTGTATTCATGAAGCACCAGGAAAAGCTGAATAATTCCAGAGAGAACATTCGAGAGCATATATTCATTGGCCATGAGTTTAATGTAAATATGCATCAGCCGTGAGGAACCTAGAGCTTTCCAACGCAGTAAAAGCAAGGCTGTGCTGATTTAAAAAAAAAAAAAAAAAAAAAGACGTATAGCCTTTCACCATGTAATCTTTGTTCTTAAACCTGACCTTTCGGGCTTCCCTGGTGGCACAGTGGTTGAGAGTCCGCCTGCCGATGCAGGGAACATGGGTTCGTGCCCCGGTCTGGAAGGATCCCACGTGCCGCGGAGCGGCTGGGCCCGTGAGCCATGGCCGCTGAGCGTGCGCGTCCGGAGGCCTGTGTTCCGCAACGGGAGAGGCCACAACAGTGGGGCCCGCGTACCGCAAAAAAAAAAAACAAAAAACCTGACCTTTCAACCCCCTTCCGAGACAGACAAGCCCATTACAGTACCCAGTGCCTCACTAAGCTCCGCCTAGCGGTCTGAGATCCTGACCTAACAGGTGGACCTCTCATGCTTAATGATTTCTTTCAGCTTCTTTCTGCAGAAGGAGCACACCCAAGACGGTGATAAGAAAGAGCATGGCTGCACCGCCACTGTTATTGCCCCACCAGGCTGATTTCTAAGGTTAAGGCAGCAACTGTAAAACTTGCCGTATTTTTCTTGATGATGATGTTAATGCTCTTTACGAAGTTAAAACAACAATGATCTGAACTGATGTAAACCTTTGGGGGCTTGCTGCATTTTCATGAAAGCCTGTAATGACGCGTGCAGAGTAGGAAGAGAGTCACCATCCTTAGTATTCATGAAGAAGACTGGCGGTGAGAACCCCAAGCACGAGCGCCATTGTATTAGCGCTTCCCGCCAACAGCACAGCCTGGGCACTTGATGGCGCAAGAGCAACACGTGCCCTGCTTTAAGGAACCCTCAGACACAGGAGGAGCTTATACTTGGAGTCAGGTCCATAACTTCCCATTACCGCGTATTAGCGACTTTCTAGAAAGGGACAGTTTCTAGATTTTTAATACAATCTAACGTTTATATGAAGTGCTTTATTATGCACTACACACTACATATGCATTTTCTTTTTTCCTTCTCATAAAAATCTTATTGGTCACTTTTATTATTATCCTCATATTATGGATGAGAAAACAAGGCACCGAGAGGTTAAGTAGCTTTTCCAAGCTCACACAGCAATAAATGGCAACAGTGAAACTCAATCAAAGACAACAACGTTCGTGCTTCTCTGAGACTCTGTTTTTGGGTCTGTTTACCAAGAACTTTCTCACATGTAATCCCCGGTAAACTTCAAAACAGCCCTGTACATTAAATATTATGGTCCTCATCGTATGAATGAAACTAATAAGGCTATAACATATACTTAGGTCCATTAGCTTTTTAAGTAAATGCCAAACAGATGTATGAACAACTAAAAACTCTTAAATATAATATTTTTCATATCATATATTTCAAATATTCATCACCTAAGAAAATGTTAATGTTCAATTTTAACATAAATTTTGCCAACTCCCTTTCTGGATAGGTTGCCAGATTTAACAAATAAAAATACAGAATGCTTAGTTAAATTTGAATTTCAGATAAAAAGCAAATGATTTGCATGGGGCATACTTGTACTAAAAAAGTATTCATTATTTATCTGAAATTCAAATTTAACTGGGCATCCTGAATTTTATCTGGCAGTCCTATTTCTGGAAGATATATTTAGTGTGCCATAAATAAGGAAATTTTAAGCCAATTGAAAAAGATCAGAGAACTACTCTTTTGTCATCAGCTACATTTGTACTAAGCGTATATCTGTGGATGATGCCTGCCTAGCTACTATACAACTGTGTGGTCTGGCTTCTGCCCTCCAGGAGTTCACAGTCCAAACAGTCATTACAATGTAAAAATAGTGATAAGTTGATGACTCTTTCAAATGCTTTTAGTTCTAGCTACTAAAAATTAATAACAGGAAGTGCCATTTGTATAGTTTTTGATGATGTGTGCTAATTTAAGATTCACAAAATTTTATGAGGGCTGTGGGTATTCCCATTTTACAGATAGAGAAAAAGAGACTACAAAGTTATTTGTCTAAGGAAACAAAGAATTGGAGCAGAACTGGGGTTTAAGTCTCCTGATTCCAGCCTCACTCATCTTTCCTCTACACCCAAAGGACCACGTTTCTCAAAGCAGCAGGCTAGCCATGGAGGGGAGCACAGGGAAGCCACTGCCAGACAGCGGTGAACACCCTATCTTTCTGGGTACCTTTATCATGGTGCCAGATCCTGGAACCCCAGATGACAACAGAGGGTGATGATTCACCATGAAGAGTCTTCTGGTTGGCCTCAAGCCCTTCAGACTCTGTTAACGGAGCAGGCAGGACTGGCTCAGGTGAACAACCTGGAAAGCAAATTTGTTGGGAGCAAAAAGTAAGTAATTCAGGAAAAGCTCAGGTCCTATAGAGGTGGTCTGACTTCCATCTAGGTCACATTTTTCTAAGTGGATATGATGGTTAACTTCATGCGTCAACTTGAATAGGTCACAAGGTTCATGCTTGGTCAAACATTATTCTGAGTGTTTCTGTGAGGGTGATTTTGGATGTTTTTAATATTTCAATCAATAGACTGAGGGAAGCAAATTGCCCTCCCTAGTGGGTGGGCCTCATCCAATCAGGTGAAGGCCTGAGTAGGACAATAGGCTGACACTCCCCCAAATAAGAGAGAATTTCTCCTGCCTGATGGTCTTCAAGCTGAAAAATCCATTTTTTCCTGCCTTTGGACTCGAAGTGAAACAGTGACTCTTTTGGGTCTCAAGCCAATTGGCCTTTGCACTGGAACCACACCATCAGCTCTCCTGGGGCTCCAGCTTGCTGACTGCAGATCTGGGGACTTGTCAGCCTCCATAATCACAGGAGCCAAATCCTTATAATAAATATATACATACACATACATATGTATACATGTATGTATGTGCATATATATATAAAGCTAATATTTTCAGGTTTCTGAATTGTTTACACATACACATGCATATTCACATATTTGTGTAATATACATAGACCAAAGCCATTCTGAAATAATTCATTTCAGAACAATTAATCATATAGAACTGTAATGCATCCTTTCATCAAGAAGTGGTAGAATACAATTTATCTTGACTAAGGAACAATTTCATCTATTTAAGCTGGCTTTTGATTACACGAACCAGAGCCTTTACATACAGATGAATGCTATCCTCTTCCTAACAGTTACCTAGAAAGACTATCAATTCTATAATGCTGAAAATATTTTTTTTCAGATTGTCCAGAGTCCTCAGTACGTTCCTCTGAGTATTTCTAATTGCAATAAATCTTTATTCTTCAGAAATGAATCAGATGTCTGAAAATAGTCAGATATCCAGAGAATAAAAAGGAAGACCAAGCTGGATAATGTAGATGGATGGCCCACTTGGGGTTACAAACTCCAAATGAAAAACGGTGAATCTGGTTTTTTTACTTTCTCTGAAGTCAATCATATAGAGAAGGATAAAAAATTTTTCATCTGGCAGAATTGTTTTAATATACATATCACCTTCGCGGGATATTTTAGAACAGCATTGAGGGCCTTCAGTTCTCTTCCTGGGGTACCTCTCTAATCTCTCCTCCCACTTCTTGTCATTTCTCGTTCCCTAACAGCCTGCCTGAATTTCATATGTTCGTGCCCTTGACATCCCTCCTCCTCATCTGTAGAAAACATACTCATACTATTTTTTAACATCTTTATTGGAGTATAACTGCTTCACATTGTTGTGTTAGTTGCTGCTGTATAACAAACTGAATCAGCTATACGTATACATATATCCCCTTATCCTCCCCCCTCTTGCGTCTCCCTCCCACATTCCCTATCCCACCCCTCTAGGTGGTCACAAAGCACCAAGTTGATCTCCCTGTGCTATGCGCCTGCTTCCCACTAGCTATCTACTTTACATTTGGTAGTGTATATATGTCAATGCCACTCTCGTGCTGCTTCCCAGCTTACCCTTGCCTCTCCCCTTGTCCTCAAATCCATTCTCTATGTCTGCATCTTTATTCCTGTCCTGGCCCTATGTTCTTCAGAACCACTTTTTTTTTTTCAGATTCCATATATATGGGTTAGCATACGGTATTTGCTTTTCTCTTTCTGACTTACTTCACTCTGTATGACAGACTCTAGGTCCAACTACCTCACTACAAATAACTCAATTTCGTTTCTTTTTATGGCTGAGTAATATTCCATTGTATATATGTGTCACATCTTCTTTTTCCATTCATCTGTCAATGGACACTTACGCTGCTTCCATGCCCTGGCTATTGTAAATAGTGCTGGAAATGAACACTGTGGTACATGACTCTTTTTGAATTATGGTTTTCACAGGGAATATGCCCAGTAGTGGGATTGCTGGGTCATATGGTAGTTCTATTTTTAGTTTTTTAAGGAACCTCCATACTGTTCTCCATAGTGGCTGTATCAATTTACGTTCCCACCAACAGTGCGAGAGGGTTCCCTTTTCTCCACACCCTCTCCAGCATTTATTGTTTGTAGATTTTTGATGATGGCCATTCTGACTGGTGCGAGGTGATACCTCATTGTAGTTTTGAGTTGCATTTCTCTAATGATTAGTGATGTTGAGCATCCTTTCATGTGTTTGTTGGCAATCTGTACATCTTTGGAGAAATGTCTATTTAGATCTTCTGCCCACTTTTGGATTGGGTTGTTTGTTTTTTTGATACTGAGCTGCTTGTATATTTTGGAGATTAATCCTTTGTCAGTTGCTTCATTTGCAAATATTTTCTCCCATTCTGAGGGTTGTCTTTTTGTCTTGTTTATGGTTTCCTTTGCTGTGTAAAAGCTTTTAAGTTTCATTAGGTCCCATTTGCTTATTTTTGGTTTTATTTCCATTTCTCTAGGAGGTGGGTCAAAAAGGATCTTGCTGTGATTTATGTCATAGAGTGTCCTGCCTACGTTTTCCTCTAAGAGTTTTATACTGTCTGGCCTTACATTTAGTTCTTTAATCCATTTTGAGTTTATTTTTGTGTATGGTGTTAGGGAGTGTTCTAATTTCATTCTTTTACATGTAGCTGTCCAGTTTTCCCAGAACCACTTACTGAAGAGGCTGTCTTTTCTCCATTGTATATTTTTGCCTCCTTTGTCAAAGATAAGGTGACCACATGTGCATGGGTTTAATTCTAGGCTTTCCGTCCTGCTCCATTGATCTATATTTCTGTTTTTGTGCCAGTACCATACTATCTTGATTACTGTAGGTTTGTAGTATAGTCTGAAGTCACGGAGCCTGATTCCTCCAGCTCCGTTTTTCTTTCTCAAGATTGCCTTGGCTATTTGGGATCTTCTGTGTTTCCATACAAATTGTGAAATTTTTTGTTCTAGTGGTAAAAAAAAATGCCAGTGGTAGTTTGATAGGGATTGCATTGAATCTGTAGATTGCTTTAGGTAGTATAGTTATTTTCACAATATTGAATTCTTCCAATCCAAGAACATGGTATATCTCTCCATCTGTTTGTATCATCTTTAATTTCTTTCATCAGTGTCTTACAGTTTTCTGCATACAGGTCTTTTGTCTCCTTAGGTAGGTTTATTCCTAGGTATTTTATTCTCTTCGTTGCAATGGTAAATGGGAGGGTTTCCTTAATTTCTCTTTCAGATTTTTCATTATTAGCATATAGGAACGCAAGACATTTCTGTGCATTAATTTTGTATCCTGTTACTTTACCAAATTCATTGATTAGCTCTAGTAGTTTTCTGGTAGCATCTTTAGGATTCTCTATGCATAGTATCATATCATATGCAAACAGTGACAGTTCTACTTCTTTTCTGATTTGGATTCCTTTTATTTCCTTTTCTTCTCTGATTTCTGTGGCTAAAACTTCCAAAACTATGCTGAATAATAGTGGTGAGAGTGGGCAACCTTGTCTTGTTCCTGATCTTAGTGGAAACGGTTGCAGTTTTTCACCATTGAGAACAATGTTGGTTGTGGGTTTGTCATATATGGCCTTTATTATGTTGAGATAAATTCCCTCTGTGCCTACTTTCTGGAGAGTTTTTATCATAAATGGTTGAATTTTCTCAAAAGCTTTTTCTGCATCTATTGAGGTTATCATATGGTTTTTATCCTTCAGTTTGTTAATATGGTGTATCACATTGATTTGTTTATACTGAAGAATCAATATTTCCTTGCATTCCTGGAATAAACCCCACTTGATCATGGTGTATGATCCTTTTAATGTGCTGTTGGATTGTTTGCTAGTATTTTGTTGAGGATTTTTGCATCTATGTTCATCACTGATATTGGCCTTTAGTTTTCTTTTTTTGTGACACCTTTGTCTGGTTTTCATATCAGGGTGATGGTGGCCTCGTAGAATGAGTTTGGGAGTGCTCCTCACTTGGAAGAGTTTGAGAACGATAGGTGTCAGCTCTTCTCTAAATGTTTGATAGAATTTGCCTGTGAATCTGTCTGGTCCTCTGCTTTTGTTTGTTGGAAAATTTCTAATCATAGTTTCAATTTCAGTGCTTGTGATTGTTCTATTTATATTTTCTATTTCTTCCTGGTTCAGTCTCGGAAGGTTGTGCTTTTCTAAGAATTTGTCCATTTCTTCCAGGTTGTCTACTTTATTGGAATATAGCTGTTTGTAGTAATCTCTCATGATCCTTTGTATTTCCGCAGTGTCAGTTGTTACTTCTTTTTCATTTCTGATTCTGAGCCTTTTCCCTTTTTTTCTTGATGAGTCTCACTAATGGTTTATCAATTTTGTTTATCTTCTCAAAGAACCATCTTTTAGTTTTATTGATCTTTGCTATCATTTACTTCACTTCCTTTTCATTTATTTCTGATCTGATCTTTATGATTTCTCTCCTTCTGCTAACTTTGGGGGTTTTTTTGTTCTTCTTTCTCTAATTGCTTTAGGTGTAAGGTTAGGTTGTTTATTTGAGATTTTTCTTGTTTCTTGAGGTAGGATTGTATCGGTATAAACTTCCCTCTTAGAACTGCTTTCGCTGCATCCCATAGGTTTTGGGCCGTCATGTTTGCATTGTAATTTGGTTCTAGGTATTTTTTGATTTCCTCTTTGATTTCTTCAGTGATCTCTTGGTTATTTAGTAGCATATTATTTAGCTTCCATGTGTTTGTATTTTTTACAGTGTTTTTCCTGTAATTGATATCTAGTCTCTTAGCATTGTGGTCAGAAAAGATACTTGATATGATTTCAATTTTCTTATATTTACCAAGGCTTGATTTGTGACCCAAGATATGATCTATCCTGGAGAATGTTCCATGAGCCCTTGAGAAGAAAGTGTATTCTGTTGTTTTTGGATGGAATGTCCTATAAATATCAATTAAGTCCATCTTGTTTAATGTGTCATTTAAAGCTT